AAAAAGCATAAGGACCAAAAAGCATAAAGCTAAGAAACAAAAGACATCTGTAGAGAGGACAAACCGTCAGAACAAAACTGCAGCATAGGAGCTTATTTGATATTTCACACATCCAGAGTTGCATCCAGCGGAGAAATGAGTAACAATCCAGTCCAGTCCATCTTTAGGTCTCGCTGGGTTGTTATGAAATTGAGTAACGCTAATTGACAGTAACTTCGGCTTGGATCTCCGAACACAAATCCTTATCATAGGAAATTCAAGGGAAAACGAACCAAAGAACGGAAAGTCAGTAATACATCACCATGGACACAAAATACAGGGGGAAGAGTTCACATGCAATCTAAATGAACAGAAAACACGGATCAAAGAACTAACCAAACCAATTACTCTCTGGAGCTGTGTAATTTGCAGAATGTTCGCTCCGAACTCTGCCAGGATCAGAGGAGATGAGACATGGGGGAAAACCACAAGGTGAACCTAAAACACAAAGAAAAAGATACAAGAATACAAAGGGAGAACTTGACTTAGTTAGTAGCATCAGGGATGTTGCAGATTTCCATGGTCACTGTTTTTTGACCACCGATCCAAATCTCCGGGTCCTCTCCTCAATTGATCTCGCCACCCCGCCGTGCGTTCTGTCTTCGTGCCTGAATTCCCTTACTGTTAACTCTGCGCAGGTATCTCCTCTGAAAAGTGATGAAACAAACAACCCATGGTGAGAAAGAGAGAACAAAACCATGAAAGAAAAGAGAAGAGAAGAATTCATCAAAACAAAGAAAATCTAATACCGTGCGGATCTGGGTCTCCTCCGATTCCTCTCTCGGCCCCTCCCTCAATTTCGCGCAATGATTGCTCCAAGCTGTACTGGTTTCCGGAAAAGACAAGTGAGAAACAAAGCACAGAGAGTGTGAGTGAGACGTAGAGAGTAAAGAGGAAGAGAGAGTTTCCTCCACTCTCTGAGCCTGAGGAGAGGATGCACAGCCTCCCAAAAACCCTTTTGGAACTGTCACAGCCTTACTCTTGGTCGTGCGGCCCTAGCTCTCAATTCCGTTAGAGATGCTAGGCAGCCTTCTCACAAGCTCTCAAACTCACTCAACTCACAAGAACAAGACACAAGAAGATGGGAGAAACTCTATAGTTGTATTGCTCACAAAAATGATGGATGAGTTACAAGTGAGGGAGATGGCTCCTTATATAGGCCTCTCCTCATACAAGGCATCAATGCCCCTCATAATGGTCCCTCTACATCAATACACCCCATAAAGTCCCCCCCATAATGCACCCTAATAATGCTACCCATAATGTAGCCCATAAGTGCACCATTAAGCTCTCATTTAGGTGGAGAATCCTAGGAGCATCTCTATGCTACTAGTCTTCCATACATGCCACATGTGTAGCCGCCTTGTTGTCACCTTGTTGGCGCCATGTCATCTGCCACATGTGACATCCTCCCCCACCTATGCTCGCGACGCCCTCGTCGCGTCCTTGCTACGAAATGCCTCCATCGACCTCGAGCAGCCTCTCTCGACTCTTGAGCCTCGTTGGTGACATTCTCCTCTACTCAATCCACGACGTCCTCGTCGTGGCTCTTTGGCCGACGCCTCCCTTGCCTTAGCTTCATTGCTTCCAAGGTCTCGTTGCACCTTCCTCCAAACCAAGGATGGCCCTGGCTCGCTCTCGAGCCTTGTGCTCCCATGATGTGGCGCACTCCTCCGCGGTCTTCTCCGTTGCGTCTTCGAGTGTCCCGCCTTCTCGATCATGGTGGCCTTTCCTTGCTTCTCTTGGCAAGTCGAAGATGATCCATCCTCGTCTCTCATGGCTCCACGATGTTGTGCACTCCTCCTTCTCGTCCTTCTCCAACGAGTCTTCGAGCGAGCCGCTGCCTCCACCATCGTTGCCACTTCTCGCTGCTCTTGCCTTGCCAAACACCTCTTGTTTGACTCAAGTTGCTCTCTTGTCATGGGAACCGATCTTGCTCCGCCATTGATGCAGAATCTATTGGCGTATGGGATCGGGAAAGCTTTCTCCCGCACTATGAACTCCATGCCGATGATGACCTGATAATCATCCAACGACACCACCTCAAAGTCCGCCACCCCGGTCCATCCTCCAAACTTGAGTGGCACCTGGCGCGCTACTCCATGAGTTCTTGTGGCCCTTGAGTTGGTAGCCTTCATCCACCCTCTTCGCTTCTTCTCGTACGTGATGCCCAGCCTCCGCGCTTCATCTACGTCGAGAAGGTTGCAGCTTGCCCCGGTATCAACCAAGGCTTTTGTCTTTCTTTGGTTGAGCTTTGCCTCTACGAAGCATTGACCGTGTTGCTCAGGATGGGGAGGCTCTTCCGTCCGCTTAATGGCGCTCAATCTCTTCATGCAACCAATCTTCGCGACATGGGGCTCCACTCTTGGAGTCGCCTCCGCTTCCTCTTCCGAGCTCGAGCACTCTGCTAGTACGGCCTTCATTGCCGACAACTTGTGCTTTCTTGGGCAATCTCTCACACGATGCGGACCATCACAAAGGAAGCAAGTAAGTGGTTTCTCAACCTTATGACTACCTCCTTGGTCCAGTCTACCACGCCTTCGTGTGTCTCTGTCATAGTCGCGTCCACCTCCATTGCCTCCGAACTCCACACGTTCCTCCGGCTCGTGGTACTCGTCTAGGGACTCGGCAATCGCCATTGCCTCGGCAAGACTTTGCACGCCTCGCCGTTGTAGCTCCAACTTCGCCCATGGTTGGAGGCCGTCAAGGAAGGTGAACATGGCCTCTTTGTCGGTGTAGTCAGGGATCTCGAGCAACAATTCAGAAAACTCCTTCACATACCCTCGAATCTCTCCTTCGTGAGCAAGCCTCCTTAGTCTCGACCGGGCTTCAAACTCAACATTCTCTGGGTAGAATTGCCTCTTGATCTCCCTCTTGAAGTCATCCCATGACTCCATCACGCACGTCCCTTTATTGATATCGCCTTGGGTCCTTCTCCACCACAGCATAGCAACATCACTCAAGTAAAGAGGTGCAGTTTTTACCTTGGTATTCTCATCTCGAATACCTGAAGCTTCGAAGTATTGCTCCAAGCTCCATAGGAAGTTCTCTAACTCCCTTGCATTCCTCGACCCTTGAAAGCTCTTTGGTCTTGGAATCTCCATGGTTGAGGCAGGTTGTGCGATGGCAGGTCCGTTAGCCATGGTCCTCTTCACAAGCGTCACTTCGCTTTTGAGCTCCGCAACCTCCTCCTTCAAGACGGTCACCTCCGCAGCAGCCGCCTCCTTCACTAGCTCAATGGCATCGTTCATGGCGGTGGAGATGGTGTCTTTGATGAGGGCCATGAGCTCATCTCGAAGCCCTTCATTGCCAACCTCCAAACTCGTCACTCTAGCCGCCACACTTTGAACATCGCCTTGGATTTGGGTGAAGTTAGCTCCCAAATCCTCCATGACGGTGACATCTTCGGAAAGCTTCACCTCCACCCTCGAGACTCGCCTCTCTAGAGACTTGAGAGGATCACGAGTGCTCGACGTAGCTTTTGACCTTCCGCCCGGAGTAGGATCTCTTCCACGTTGTTTCTCCACATCGTCATGGACTTCTGATTCAGCCATCTTTGGGGAGGTTCTCGCTCTTTCTTATCTTCCTTCTTGGTGAGTGAGGACACCGGTTCTTCTTTCAGAACCAGGCTCTGCTACCAACTGTCACGGCCTTACTCTTGGTCGTGCGGCCCTAGCTCTCAATTCCGTTAGAGATGCTAGGCAGCCTTCTCACAGCTCTCAAACTCACTCAACTCACAAGAACAAGACACAAGAAGATGGGAGAAACTCTATAGTTGTATTGCTCACAAAAATGATGGATGAGTTACAAGTGAGGGAGATGGCTCCTTATATAGGCCCTCCTCATACAAGGCATCAATGCCCCTCATAATGGTCCCTCTACATCAATACACCCCATAAAGTCCCCCCCATAATGCACCCTAATAATGCTACACATAATGTAGCCCATAAGTGCACCATTAAGCTCTCATTTAGGTGGAGAATCCTAGGAGCATCTCTATGCTACTAGTCTTCCATACATGCCACATGTGCAGCCGCCTTGTTGTCACCTTGTTGGCGCCATGTCATCTGCCACATGTGACATCCTCCCCCACCTATGCTCGCGACGCCCTCGTCGCGTCCTTGCTACGAAATGCCTCCATCGACCTCGAGCAGCCTCTCTCGACTCTTGAGCCTCGTTGGTGACAGAACCCAGAGAGACAGAGGCAAGAAAAGCAATAAAAAAAGGAAATTAGTCTCCATGAGCAACCCATCGTTCCTCTCAGTCTCCTCTCTCCCCGTCTCTCACGCCAAAGCAATAAATTAAGCAAATATTGATCTACACAGCGACTCCTCGTTCCTCCCACTGGGAATGGCAATGGGGCAGGTCCGGGGCGGGTTTCTTGGTACCCAGACCCGCCCCGTGGCAGGGCGGGTCCAGGTCGGGTAATTGATCACGGGTCGCGGGTCGGGGCAGGTCGACCCAATGGGTATGCAATTTATATGAAAAACATTAGAAATATTTGTTATTTTTATTATAAAACTAAGAAAACAAACAATATTATGACAATTATAGTTAAATTATTGGAGAAATTGAGGTTTTCACTAATTTACAACTTTATTATAGCTAAAATATGATGCAATAAAAGGAAAATTCAAAGTAATTTGACTAAGATTTCATGTAATTTAGACAAGAACGGGTCGAGAATGGGGCGGGTCAGGGCAGGTCGGGTCGATGAGACTACCCATTCCCGCCCCGCCTCGCCTATGGGGCGGGTCGGACCCGCCCCAAAACAAGTCAAACAGGTCGGGTAAAACGGGTCAGGTCGAAATTGCCATCCCTACCTCCCAGTCTCTGCGGCGGTGAGCACCAAGGCAAATACTATTCTGACAAATAAATTATTATTAATTAAAGAAACCTTGATACCAACGCAGCAGAGTTCACACCAAACAAAAGCAACGAAACCAAAAATGCCAACCAGACATCCCTATATATTGTCCCGCCCAGCCGAAACCTCCTATCGCCGAATTCGCCTAAACTATTCCCCCAATCTCCGAACCCTAGGCAACCACTTCGGAATCATGGCTGCGGAATCTCCCAAGCGGTCGAATCCGACGAAAGACCTTCCATCTCTTGCTTCTTCCGAAGAAGATGATGATACTTCCTCCGCCGATGAAGCCTCTGAACTGCCGTCGCAGGATAGAACGTTGGCGTCCCATTCACAAGGTCAACCGAAGAAGCAAGCTGTTCAGAGCTCCGATTCCGACTCCGAGCACGTCTCCGACACGGATTCCGACTCTGATCCGCGGCCGAAGAGCTCTGGCGTTCTGCCCATCGCTTCCCAGCCCCAGCCTAAAGCTCAAGTGCATGCGGTTCCTGCCTCTTCCTCAAAATCTACGCCGGAGAGAAAAAGGGCGAGTGAAACTGAAAGGGAAGCAAAGGACTCCAAGAGGCAGAAAGAGGTGGCGGAACGCGACGCGGACAGCGACGGTAAGAACAAACATACGCCGAGAGTGCTCTTCCAGCGGCTATGGGGTGAGAACGATGAAATCGTGGTGTTGAATGGGCTGATCGAGTTCGCTGAGAAGAAAGGAGCTGATCCCTTGAAGGACATAGCGGCTTTCTATGATTTCATCAAAAAGTCTGTGGCTGTGGATGTGTTGCCTTCTCAGTTGAAGGAGAAAGTTAGAAAATTGAGGGCGAAATTCAAGAAACACGCCAAAGGGGAGAATGGTTTGGATAAGACCTTTAGCAAAGCTCATGACCAGAGAACTTTCGACTTGTCGAAGAAGATCTGGGACAGTCAGGGAGAATATCTTCTAGTTCGAATTGATAACAGTAAGTCAAGCGGAAAAGCGAAGAAGAGCGGTGGTGCTAACAGTATAGGTAGCAGTAAAAGTGCATCAAAGGCTGCTGATTTGAGTGCAGCGAATGGACATGAAAATGCAAAGAGCATCGGCCGTGGTAGCAATGCCGGAAACGCCAATAGGAACGCCGCTAGTGCTGCTTTGGGAGCAGGGAATGTAGGAGAGGAAATGGTGGAAATCGACTGGGTCAATGATCGGAGAGATGGGTTAAGCTTTGATTGGAGCCGAGCTAGTGCAGAAGTTGAGGCCTTTGTGGTGAGCAAGGGGATGGACATGGTGGATGGATCCGAAAGAAACGAGCTTGCTAGAAGATGGAAGGAGCTCGATATCGAAGCTTTGGAGCACTTTGTTAAGAAGAATCAATTGATCCTTGATCAGGCTCAGTTGATGCTGGACAGCAGCAGTAGCTGAAGATCGATTCTAAGGAAGCTAGATTTGGTGAAGGCAGAACTGCAGCGTCTAACAAGTCTGATGTCCTCTTGTTTTTATGTTTTTAATTTATGTGGAGGAGATGTACCAAATGCTTTTATCTTTTGAAGAAGAAGAGCCCGTGATCCACAGTGACTCTCGATCTACATTTTGATTTATTGGTTTGATGGAGAGATTAGGAGAGGCTTCGCAAAGTATATTGGCATCTCTGGTGTTTTGGTTCTTGCTCAGTTATTGTGTAGGTTTCGATGTTGATGCTTTCTCGTGACTGTTAAACCGCTTTTATTAGTTGAAATGGTAAGATGTGTTTTGTTCATTTGTTGGTATCTTTCCAGTTTCTTGAATGCTGGCTGTGAATGAACTTTGCCTTCTTGAATCACTGTGTTGTTCTAATTTGCTATCAACACGCAAAACGTTTAGACTACTACCACCATTAATCAACCGAGGGGTCTTGTTATCTGTGTAGAAAGAGAGCTTTTAATTGTTGCCACCAGCGGTCCCTTGGACCTCGGTCCTCTCTTTTTTTTTTTTTTTTTTTTACAAAAGGACATTGCATTTCCATTTCTGTAGCAAAAAGCCGTGAATTACAACAGGGGATACAACATCAAGAATCTGCACCCAATTAGGAGGTAAGGTGTTCATAGCACATGATCTGGCAACCCAATCAGCCATCGAATTGTTCTTACGGCCAATGTGCTTGACCCTATTCAGCGGGTTTGATTCCAGGGCTTGTTTGATGCTTCCAATCCAAGCAGCTGCTCGCCAAGGCCATGTCATCGGTTGATCAGTTACCGCTTTTACCAGAGGCAAGCAGTCTGAGAGAATGAGACATGGGGACAAACAGGAAGCAGCCATACGCGATCCTTCCAGAAGAGCTTTGGCTTCAGCTTCAAGAGGGGAAAAACAATGCAAGGTCTCAGTCTTACCGTCACAAACTTGGCCATGGCTGTTCGATACAACGACGCCATATGCCGCCTTCTGGGAGTCGCTGAAGAACGACCCATCGCAGTGTATCTCAAATTCATGAGTACTTGGCGGTGGTGAAGAGAGATTCGGTGGTGGATTGAGCTGAGGTGGTTGGAGGGTGCCATAGGTCTTCCTTGGACAGGAGATCCACTGGTGATATGCCGTGGAGGCCTTGGTGACTGTCGCGGGTGGCCAGATTCTGGAGTTTTTGAATATTCGGTCGTTTCTTGCTTTCCAAGTCTGCCATAGAAGGAAGACGATTTTCTGAATGGAGCAAACCGAGTACCTGGCAGTCAGCGCGTTCAGCCATTCCAGGAATGGCACATTTGGATTTGGGGGAGGGAGGGACGACCATTCTTGTTCCCATCCTTCAGCTGCATGAGGGCAGGAGAACAGACAGTGGTGGATCGATTCCAAAGGGAAATCACCACAGTGGGCACACCATGTTGGGAGAGCACTTCCTGTTGAAGAGGTTTTCTTTGGAGGCAAGTGCATTCTTTGAAATCCTCCACACAAAAAAATTGAGCTTTGCGGGAATGGAGAGACTCCACAACCATTTCCATCTCTTCATGTTAGCTTCGGATGTCAAGTTCTGCTGTCCTTGCGACACTCTGATAAGGTGATGAAAATGAAAGAACGCGGACTTGACCGAGAACGTGCCCTGTTCCGTGAATCTCCATGCCCAGAAATCCTCAAGAGAGTCCGGGCCAATAGGGGTGGCAGCCACCTGTTGAACATCATGTGGGCTAAGGAAGCTATCAAGGAGATCAAATCTCCATTCTCTGGTTATCTGATAGACTCTTAATTACACATGTTTTTACCCCCGTTCTTACACCGTTTGAGGTGTTGATTCTCGTGTTTTAGGCCAATTTCATGCTAGGTTGTGCTTGTTTGTGATATTTCAGGTCCTAGTACGTGAATGGGGGCTTGTGAGCGAGTCTGGGGTCGATTAGACGAAGATCGGACGCGTGGCGAGGTGCCAAAGAAGCCGCACGGGCAGACCGGGGCATCACACGGCCGTGCAACTGACAATTGTGGCCGTGTGATTTCCGCCGAGAGCAAACACGGGCAACTCAGGAAATCCACACGGCCGTGCAACCTTGGCCGTGTGAGATGGCTGAAGATCGAACTTAATGGGACGCTGTGTTTTGACTCACACGGCCAAATGGGTGAGCCACACGGCCGTGTGGCCTGCCCGTGTGAGTCGGGAAATTCTGGTTTTTCAGCCAATTTCGAGCCAAAAGTGGGGGAATCGGATTTTCAGAGCGAAAACAGAGCCCTAGAGAGAGAAAGTACGAAGAACACATCCTAGAAGCTATCTTGGAGCTGGATTTCATCGAATCGAGCTTGGAGATCGTCATAGGAGTGGAAATCATCGTCCCGGAGCAGATTTTCGTCATCATTATGAGTATGACTACTCCGATTATTGTTTTCTCTTCTCTCTCTATGGAGTAGAACCCTTCTCTCACTTGGGTATGAAGAACCCTAGTTCCTTGTGTTAGGGATTTGATTGTAATGACTTGGGATGATTATACTGTTTGATTTTAATCGAATGATGCATGTTTATTGAATTGTTTGAAGTTTGATTAGCTTTTCTCGATTTCTGCTGCAACCTGAGATAGATAGAATCTGATTAGGTTGTTAGAGCCTCTTCATTCGATAGTAGGAGATTGGCTATACGAGAGTTAGTTAGTTTACTGCTTTGTACTGGAATTCAATTCCAGTAGTGGAGTTCTGTGTTCATAGCCTCAGCTTTCTATCCCGGTGAAGACTAGTCGTCTGCCGGGTAGTTAGACTGAGAGGGCTTGGTCAGCTTAAGAGATTCCAAGCTACTGTCGGATCTTTCGCAGTCTAATCAACAGTGAATCAACCCAGGGGAATTACAATTGAACCTAACTAAGGGGCTAGGGGGACTCATTCCCGAGTGACTCTTTCCTGCTTTAGAAAACCGAATCATTCCTTGCTTTCTTACTGCTTTTGCTTTAAACAACAATCACTCGAATTAGTTTGCTAGATAATAGATAATCACGGAGTAAGCAGTAGATCTAGACCCCGGGTTGACAATTGAACTTGCCTGTTACTGCATTCCCGGACTGCGATTACACTTGGTCGCAGTTTGGGGTTGTGTTTTGGCATGTCAAGTTTTTGGCGCCGTTGCCGGGGACCCTCTAGGTTATTGGGGAAACGTGAGAATTTGTTACTCTAGCTTTTTCTTTATTGCATTTTTCTCTTCCACCTGTGTGCCTTCACGGGTTGCTCTTGCTGATTGTGTGCAGGTAGTGCATGACCCGTAGCCAGTCGGGAGATCTACTACCCTTAGACCAGGAGCTTGAACGAACCTGCAGGAACTTCAAGCGGGCTCTAAAGGCGCGACTGGCTGCGGAGGAGGAGCTATCATAGCTGCAGATCGGAGAAGAAGAAGAAGGAGAGATGGCTGATCCACAGAACCATGATGTGATCAACCCAGATGAGCAGACCATGGGATCCTACTGGACCGCTAGAGCTGCGGACATGAGGTCATCCATTCAACACCCTCAAGTCCCAGCCAACAACTTTGAGGTGAGCACCTCAGTAATCACCATGCTGCGCGGTTCAGTGGTGTTCCGGGGTAAGGAGGGAGAGTGCCCCCGATCACATCTCAGGCGATTCCACGAGCTCATCGATGGAATCAAGATCAATGGGGTACCAGCAGATGCCATCCAGTTGAGGTACTTCCCATTCACTCTGGAGGGGCAATCCAAGGAGTGGCTAGACACTCGACCTCCGGGCTCTATCACCACGTTCGCCAACCTGGCAGACAAGTTCCTCACCCCGCTACCATCCTCCATCCAAGACAGCTGACCTGCAGAAGCAAATTACACATTTTGCTCAGGATGAGGATGAGACCATCAGGGATGCTTGGGAGAGATACACCAGTCTCTTTCTCAGGTGTCCCAATCATGGTTTCAATGATGCATTCAAGGTGGGCACCTTCTATCACGCCCTCTTCCCGGAGGACAAGCAGCTGATTGATTCGGTTTGTGGCGGGAACATGCTGACAAAAACCCCGCCACAGCTGAATCAACTCTTTGAGGAGATGGCGGAGAACGGGTACGACTAGGGCACTGCCAGGAGATCGAGACGAGCACCAGGACGGGGTGTGCATGCTGTGGGCACCCAGTCATCTGATTTGGTGCAGGTGGTATCGAAGCTGGTTTCAGCCATCGATCGTTCTGGTTTGATTGCAGGTACAGGACAGCTGCAGGCGATGCACTGCCAGTGGTGTGAGAGCTCTGATCACACCGTGGAGGACTGTCAGGCGATGAGGGAGTCGTCTACTCCCCAGGAGCAGGTGGACTTCATCGGGAATGCCAGGCGTTTCGACCCCTACAGCAACACCTATAATGAGGGGTGGCGCCAGCATCCTAACTTTTCTTGGGCTGGGCCGAATCCCAGACCACCAGCTCCCCAGGGACCACCCGGTTTTCAGAGGCCTCCATACCAGCCCAGATAGGGGCAATTTCAGCAGCCACAGCAGCCACTCTATCCGCACAGACAGGGGCCAGTCCCACCTCAGTCGCAGGCAAGACCATTTCAGCAGACAGGGGCAGCACCTGCAGCTCCAGTACAGAGTGACCCGATGGTGGAACTGAGAGATCTGGTGGGTTCTCTGGCCACCTCCAGTGCAAATAAATTCAATAACATTGAGCAATTCATGGAGAAAGCTTCAGGCGAATTCTTGGAGCTAGAAGCTGGTCAGAGAAACACACAGGCTGTGCTGCGAGATATACAGACCCAGCTTGGGAGTGTTGCCCAGGCTGTTGCTCAGAGGACTCCAGGTACTTTGCCTGGTCAGACCATCCCTCACCCGCAGGATCCGAATGCCAAGTGCAGTGCCATCACGACCAGGAGTGGCAAGGTGACTGCCGATCCACCTGTTCGGGCAGAGGAGAGAGAGACCCCTGCTTCAGCACTTCCAGCTAATCAGGAAGAAACGGAGAAGGAGGTTGAGGTGCCTGCTCCTAAACCGCAACCAGTGGTGAAGGAGTATGTACCACAGCTTTCCTTTCCTACTCGGTTGCACAAGGACCGACTGGAGACTGAGTTTGCCGAATTCATGGCAATGCTGAAGCAGGTGAATATTAGCATGCCCTTCGTGGAGGCATTATCGAAGATGCCCAAGTATGCCAAGTTCATGAAGGATCTCCTCACCAACAAGAGGAAGCTTGGGGAGCTGTCACGGTGATGCTAAACGAGGAGTGTTCTGCCATCCTGCAGAACAAACTACCAGAGAAGCGAAAAGACCCAGGGAGTTTCACTATCCCTTGCATGATTGGTAGTTTGCATGTAGGGAAGTCCTTGGCGGATTTAGGCGCTAGCAAATGTCATGCCATATCACTGTTTAAGAAGCTAGGCCTAGGTGAACCCAGTAATACTAGGATGAGCATCCAGCTTGCT